TCTTCTGTCGTTTTGGGTGCTACAAGGTACTGGCAGAATCCCTGTGAAGGGGTTCCTGTTACCCCATCATAATGTAGCGCAGTGTTTTTAGGGTGAATAAATACACCTCTCTCTTCGCCGCCGTAGTCGCTGAACTCAGCACAATCGTGCCGTGGTTTGTGTAACGAGCCTCCCAGTGCGGCGTCTGAGTCTTTTCTGACTCGTGTCACTGTCATAGGTCACGCTGGCCGGCGGCCTGGTGAAGACGGAGGCACCTGCTACTCAGCTAACCCTGCTTGTCCGTGGGCCTGTTCACCTCCTGGGAGAATTCTAGCGGGTGTGGTGTTCTTTTTTGTAAACACGTTGTCCAACAGGGTACTTAAATAAAGGTAGTGACTCTTCTATAGTGTGATGGATGTAATGCCTGAAAACTTGGCTCCTGAAGCCGGCCTACTGAGTTTGAGTCCAGCTCCGTCGTTTGCTAGCTGTGTGACCTTGGGCAAGATACGTAACTTCTGTGCTTCTGATTCTGCACCTATGAGAGAAGGTAATAATGGTACTTATCTCACCGTGAGGATTAAAGAAATGATGTATTCAGCCTGGCCAGTGCGGCTCAGTTGGTTGAATGTCATCCCATGAACCGAGAGGTTGCTGGTTCGATTCCTGGTCAGAGGCAGGAGGCAGCTGATCAGTGTTTCTCTCTCATCGATGTTTCTATCTCTCTCTCCCTCTCCCTTCCTCTCCCTCTAAAAAAATCATTAAAAACTTATTTTTTTAAAAATGATGTATTCGAAGGCACAGAACAGTATCTAGCATTTAGTGCTCGCGCAAATAATATTAGCTGCTGTTAGTGATAATTAACTTGCTTGCCTTTTTATTTGCAGTATTAAATGTACATTTCCACAAGACTGTGGCTGCAGACAAAACTTCACTTTGGGGCAAGAGATAGTGGGAGCAGAAAGAAAGGAGTGCTGGTCTCAGGGGGCAAAGCACATCGTAGGAATGTGGCCAGCGCTTAGGATGCGGCCAGGCATCAGTCCCTCACGCAGTCGTTGCGGGGCTAGGCTGCCCGCGGTCAGCGTGGTGGAGATGCGTGTGGCCGCCAAGCGTCCACCAGTCACCTGCCGCCGGCCACGCGGGGCGTTCGCTCAGATGGGAGCAGATTGTCCATGATCTTTCCTGTCCGCAGGAGTGAGGACTGACGGGTGTACATTTATGTTCACTTCTCCCTCAGGGTTCTTTTCTTTCTTTTCTCTTAGTGAAAGTAGAGAAAAGCCAAGTTGCTTGTTTACTTGGGCATTTCCTAAGGAACTGACTTTATTCCGCTCACTCCGCCTCCCTAGAGAGCTTGTTCTGCAAACAGCCCCTCACCGGCCCGTGGGGTTCTGGCAGCTGGGAGACCCCTCCGGGGGAGCAGGGACAGGTATGAACCTGGGGACTGTTTTTGGAGATAAGAAAACACAGGGAATTTGAGGTCAATCGTTCACTCCTAGCTGCTAGAGAAGTACATCGGAAACAGCTGAACTAGGCATTTATTTACATTTTAATTATTAGACCAAGTCCTTGGTTGATAGGAAAATAAATTCAGCAAATGTATGAAGGGAAAACCAAGCATTTTTCTTATCCAAAGGGGACCTGTGGTCTCAAGCACTGAGGAAAAAAATTGCACATCAAAAGGCCTAATTTTTAGTATTAGTTTTGTAGCAAACTAGTCGAGTCCCAGAAAGGATGAAGTGCTCAGTTCTTTCATTTAGGAAGAAGTTTTTGTTTGGGTCCTGTCCCTGGTGCTCCTTGTATCCCATACTGTGATTTTGTGAGACTCGAGCCTTGACGTTAGGGGAGGCCGAGTGATCAGCGGGTTTATGTCTTATAATGCCTTCNTAGCCAAGGCCCGGGGAGGCCGAGTGATCAGCGGGTTTATGTCTTATAATGCCTTCCTGAGAGCTAGGATCCCACTCAGCCCTCCTTCCTGGCATGCGTCCTAGAATACATGCTTCATGATCAAGCTGTGCAGGAGAAGTCATTTTCTAAAGAAAAGCAGTAAGGAAGGATCGATTGATTAACCATGGCTCCTAACCTAATATTGTCTGATAGAAATTTTGTGGACACTGGAAACCACAAAGGGCTTTTACTCCAGAAAACGGGTAGATCCTAGAACTAAGGGTGACGTTCGAAGTTCCAGAATGTCTCCCAGGTATTCAGGGTGATACGAGTCGATAAACATCACTATTTTTGAAGCCTCGGTCAGTGGGAATTATAGATCCAGGCCTCCTCGTGGGTTACAGAGGAAAGTACCAACTACGAATATGTCTCCTCAGTGTCCATCAGGAGAGGGCAGTAGACCGAGGCTGTGGAATATTATGTAGCCATAAAAAATGAAACAGCTTTACTCTATATGCAATGAATGGAAGAATACATGTTATAATTCGTTTAGAAAAATAATGATGCAGAACACTATTCATGGTGGGATTTAATTTTTGTAAGAACAAACAAACAAAATCTTCAAACATGTGGATATAGGTATCTGCCTCGTTAAGAGCTAGAAGAACAAACGAACTGTTACCAGTGGATTCCCCAAGGTACCCAGAGTGAACAAGGAAGACGCGGGAATGGTGTCGGAGGAGGGGAGGAGAGGAATGTGTACTTTTTAATTGAGTCACATCTGTATTGTTTGGATTTTTCATCAACATGCATATTATAAAATTTTACATAAAAGCATAAAAATGTGTGTATCAGAGACGAATCTCTCATGTGCCTGGAGGTTTGCAGCTCTATTCTGCAAAGAAACATGCTGTCCATCGGCAAATATTACGAATGACAAGTATTCTTCCACCTGAAAAAACCCCTTAAAATAGAAATCTAAACTGCCTCACATTTGCAAACATCAGCTACTGCATGTCACAGGGACAGGAAGAGGCGGAAGTGGAGCCCAAGCTGCTCTATGATGGAAATTCGCACGTCAGTGGGCTGATAGTAACAGTGGAAGGGAAATGTGTACAGTTAAACAAGGTGCTGAAAATATGCAAATACTTTCATAATAATGTGGGAAAGATGCGGTGCTGCCCTGTTACAATACTCAGTGTCCTAGATCCTGACGGCCATCCTCGCCTTCCTTATAAAGGGCTCCATTTCAGCACAGAAGGGGAGCATCTCCATGGAAATGAAGCCATTAGCTAATTAACATGTTTCTTCGAGAGCCTGATGCGCGCACTGCTCCTCGCCCAGGGTTGGGGAGGGGGTCACAAAGGGAGTAAGAGCCCAGAATTGCCTCATGGTGCTTATAAACTGGTGGGGGAGCTGAGGCGGCACAGACTCTAGGATGCAACGTGGACTGTGGTGAACACGCATAAAGCGAGGGACTGAAGCAGGACTTCCGAGAAGAGTGGCTGGATGGTCCCTCCAAAGAGAGGTGTTTTGTTTCCTATTTTGTTTCGTTTAAGAATAGGAAAAACAGCCCAGCTGGCGCGGCTCTCCTAGGATCCAGGAGATCTACGTTCGATTCCTGGTCAGGGCACGTGCCCAGGTTGCTGGCTCCAGCCCCGGCAAGGGGTACGCGGGAGACAGCCGATCAATGACTCTCTCATCATTGATGTTTCTCTCTCTCTCTCTCCCTCTCCTTTCCTCTCTCTGAAATCAATAAAGATATATATATTTTTAAAAAGAATAGGAAAAACCATTCAAACCATTGTAAGCAGAGGAGAAAGGGTCAGTGTGGAGAGGTAACAAGGGGGAAATTCGTTGGGTAGCCCTGTAGAAGCCTGAAGAGACCCCAAAGGGGGACACTGGTCATGGAAAGGAAGACGGGTGTTACCTGATATGTAACAGAGGGAAGAGGTCCTGGGGGGTGAGGCAGAGACGCTCTGAGATGAAGGGAAAGGAAACCCAAGGGCCCACTTGTAACAGCTTTGACTTCCTCAGTGGAGAGGGAAGCTCCCTTATGGACAGAATGACGGGGTGGCGGAAGGCTGGGGCGCTGCGGGGCGATTCGGAACAGCCACCGTGAAGACTGCCAACCAGGAGTGCTGACGAGGGCTGTGCAGCACCCTTGAGGTCATTGCTGAGGCCGAGTAGCAGGCACTTTTAAGGAAACTAATAAACGTTTTCATTACTTTCTCTAGTAATGTTGCAGGTGGGCACAGGGGCATAGAAATTCAGTTTGGCTGGAGTCCATGTTTTGTAGAAATCAAGTGATTCTTATATTGAAAGCTTCATTTGGAAATTAATTGCGAATAATTGCATCATTTCAGATCTCACTTTGCCAGCTTGTGACTTTATCTTCAATATTTAGAGTCAAATCATTCGGACAACCATATTTTCATAAAGAACTAGGAGCAATAACCTGTGCTTCAAATGTTAACCAAGCAAGTAATGCCACTGGGCTTTCTAAAGCTTCTAGCTCATAGTAGCTTCTCATTCATTATGTATTTTCAGGTTGGAAAAACTAATAGCATCCTTTTTGGAAGACCAGGATCCGGAGAGTAGACTGGAGGTTGGCGCCGATATGCGTAAAATTCATCACTGTTTCCATCACTTAAAGGTAATTGTAAGCATTGTCCCCTGGTGGAAGCCTCCCTGACCATGTTCAAACCTCAGTAACGCTTCCCTAGTTGACCGGCTCTGAGAAGGCCGGGCCCAGCCTCATGGCCAGGACGGTCTGAGCTTCCCACCGAGGCTGTGACTGGCGCCGGGTCCCTTCAGAGCTCGTCTCTCAGTTCCAAGGAATAAGCTCGGACCGTAGACTTCTACCTCTTTTGCCAGGAGCCTCTACCTTCTGCGGAGACTAGCTCCCTGCTCAAAAGCCATCTATTTTCAAGCTGTGCCAAGAGAATGCGATCTTTCCTTTTCCCCCAGCAGTTTCTGTTTATCCGTATAAATCCTCAGCTTTTCTCTGCCTTCAGTCTTACCTTGTATGATGACAAGCACTATTGTTATCTTGCTTCTTTCGCACCTGTAACCTGGCATAATTCCTTAACATCACGCGTGTCGCTGTGGGCCTGCCGCGGGCCGGGCACCGGGAAGGCAGCGTTGCGTGAGCGAGTCTGGGAGATGGCAGATAGTGAGGGGCGGCGCAGCGCACGGCAGGTGTTCTTTTAGAGAGGGGAAGAATCGGAGAGGAGGTCACGTCTGAGCAGGGCTTTCCCAGTTCAGGGGCGAAGATGACAGATCTCGGAGGGTATGGGGACGGAGAGGGGCCATGGAGGGCCCGCCTGGCTGCGTGGGCCACCGAAAGGCGAAGGAGCCGGAGAAGCAAGCCTGGAGCAGAGGTAAGGACACAGCTCTTACCTCACCTTCCAGAAACTACTGAACGGCCAGAAGGGCCTCGGGACGAGCACCGTGTCCTCCGAAATCAAAGACCAGGGCTGCCAAGAACCGCTCAAAGAGGAAGAGTTCAGAAAGCTGCGGGATGTCCTGCAGCAGAGAGATAACGAGATCAGTATCCTTTGCGGAGCCCTCGAAACTCTCGCTCTCCCCTGCAGGCCGGAGCGGGGAGGGGGACCGCCGA